ATCGGTGCGGTGGGCGCATGCGAACGCAGCCACCAGGGCATTCGGTGGAGCTGCTTATGGGGGCGCACGAAGCGTGTCAGGGGTGTGCCGACATCGGTGCGGTGGGCGCATGCGAACGCAGCCAGCAGTGCCTTTGGTGGAACTGCTGATGGGGGCACGAGGCGTGTCAGGGGTGTGCCGAAGCTGATTGCGATGATGGTGGTGATATCGGCGATGGTGATGACGATGATGGTGATGATGACGGCCATGGTGGTGATGACGTTGATGATGATGGTGATGGTGACGTCGATGATGCCGCTGATGATGATGGAGGAGGGCGGAGGAGGAGGAGGGGGAGAACGAAAGAAGGAAGGAAGGACTGAGTGACGCGGGGTGCTGTCTCGTCCAAACGAGGACCCAGCACCACTGGATGGTTGGGAAAAACCATCCTTTGGGGGAAGTGATCGAGGAACCCAGGCAAGGAAGAAGACCGGGGTAACCCGAGGAATCCAAGCAAGGAATCAGACCAGGAAACTCGAGGAATCCGAGCGGTGAAAAAGAGTGGGGAGCCTGAGGGGCGCCATGCGACGTGGCCCAGTCGTGTCATAGGTGGAGCTCCTTCCAGGGCACGATCTGCGTGAGGGGTGTGCCAATATGGGCGGAGGGACGATGTACGAACCTTGTCACTGGGGCCGTGGGTGGTGCTCCCCATGGGAACCGATCCGCCCGAGGGGCGTGCCGCAGTGCGCGGTGGAGGCGATAGGCAGAGTGAGGGGGCGGCGGGGTCGTCGGCAGTCTGCGAGGCTCTGAAGAAGCCTGCCGCAGGCCCAGAATTCTCACACTCGTTACGGGGCCTGCAGCAGGCGCCGAATCTTTGTCAAAGTAATGTGGGTGGGTCACCGATGGGTCGCGGGTGGGTTGCGGGATGGGTCGCGGGGTGGGTCGCGGGCGGGGTCGTGGGGTGGGTCGCGGGCGGGTCGCGGGCGAGGACGACAACAACAACGCAACACTCATTTTCAGATTGTTCGCTTCCATCTACCCGCGTGCCACTCAACACGTACATCCACAACCCATGGTACCCGCCTTCTTAGTCTTCGATCGTACCCCTTTTGGGGTCTTTCTTCCTGATCTGCTACATGAATTGCGCGCATTCCCTAGAACAGGCGTGCAGGTCGTGTTCAGGTCACCCTCGCATTGTCTTGATATCATCATGTCCGACTCATTGTTCGATCGCGCAGGCGCCGCAGGGTCATTCTGGAGCAACCTCGGCCGCGCCTGTCTGCATCTTGTGGCCATCGTGCCATCTCGGGGTCACTCGTCGCTCTTTGGTTTGGCCATCTTAGAGTTGGCCTGAGACGATCCTGAAGTCGTGTAGGGATCACGTGGGGACGGCGTCTTCCAAAGGTCGTCTTGAGGTCATCGTCTGTGGCCTGAGCCCTCTTGGAACCATGGCCATGGGGCAATCGTGGGATCGTCTCCAGGCGAGCTCTGAACACGCGTGCACAACGTGCCATCTTGCCGAGAGCGCACTCTCCAAACCGTCCTCTTGCAAGCTCGCAGAGAAGCTTCTCTTGGAGCCAAGCGAACCCGCTCGTTTCCGTAGCCGGTTTGTCTCCACGTTCATTGGCCATGAAATTGCGTCGCGCCATTTCCGAATTGAAGAGTCGTTCCTGCTGTGCGGGGAGTGCGAATCGACGCAGACTGTTCGAGTCCGCTCATTTTCGTAGCGGCTGTGGCTTCAGGTCCATCGGCCATGAATTTGATTCGTCCCATTTCCGAACTGCTCCTGTCGCGCGGGGAGTAACAGTCAACGCAGATTGTTCAAGCCCGCTCATGTCCGTAGCGGCTTTGGCTCCAGGTTCGGTTCTTGGGAAATCGGAATGACGCGGGCCACTCCCGATTTGAATTATATGCCCTGTCGCGCGGGGGGTACAATGCGGCGCACCGTGTTCGAACCCGCTCATTTCCGTAACCGTTGTGGCTCCAAGGTCATCCATGAGATTGACATGTCCCATTGCCGAAATAAACTATCTTTCCTGTCGCGCGGAAAGTACACATCGACCACCCTGTTCGAGCCCGTCCATTTCCATACCTGTTCTGGCTCCAGGTTCACTGGCCGTGAGACCGGCTCGCCCCGCTGCCGAAGTGATTGTTTGTGTTGTCGCGCGGGGGTACGAACAGACGCAGTCTGTTCGAACCCGCTCATTTCCGTATCTGTTTTGGATTTATGTTCTTTGGCCATGGATTTGACTTGTCCCACTACTGAACTGAACCGTCTTTCCTGCCGCGACGGGAGTAAACATCGACGCAGTTTTTCGAGCCCGCTCATTTCCGTGGACGTTTTGGCTCCATGTTGATTGGTTATGAGACTGACTTGCCCCACTGCCGAATTCATCGTTTTTTTTCTGTGGCGCGAGGAGCGACAGCCGTCGCAGCCTTTCGATTCCGCCCATTTATATAGCCGTTCTGGCTCCAGGTTCACTGGCCATGAGACCGGCGCGCCCCACTGCCGAAGTGATTGTCAGTGCTGTCGCGCGGGGGGTGCAAACCGATGCAGTCTTGTTCGAGCCCGCTCACTGCCGAGGTTGAGTGGCCATGGATATGACGTGTCCCACTTCCGAACTGAACTCCGTTTCCCGTCACGACGGAAATAGAAATCGACGCTGCCTTTCGAACTCGTTCATGTCTGTAGCCGCCTTGACGCCACTGACGCGCCCCGTTGCCGGCTGAGTTGTCTTTCTTGTCGCGCGGGGAGTAAACGTCGATGCAGACTGTTCGAGCCCGCTCATTTCCGCAGCCGTGCTGGCTCCAGGTCCATTATCCATGAATCTGGCGAGTCCGACTGCCGAGCTGAATTCCCTGTCCTGTCGCGAAGGAAGTAAAGATCGACGCAGCCTGCTCGAGCCCGCTCATTTCTCCTGCCGCTTTGACTCCAGGTTCATTGGCTATGAGACTGACTTGTCCTACTGCCGAGCTTAACTATTTTCTTTGTTGCGGAGTGGCTCCGGTTTTCGAGCCCGCTCATTTCCGCAGCCGCGCTGGCTCCAGGTTCATTGGCTATGAGACTGGTTTGCCCCACTGCCGAAATGAACTGTCTTCCCTACCGCGCGAGGCAAAACAAACTTGCAACCTGCTCGAACACGCTCATTTTAGCCGCGCTGGCTCCAGGTTGCCTGGCCATGAGATTGGCTTGTCCTGCTGCCGAAATGGTTTGTCTTTCCTGTGCCTCGACGAGTAAAAGCCGACGCAGCCTGTTCGAGCCCGGTAATCACGTTGAGTCGAGAAACGAAGGAGCGAGAGAGGGAGAGAAGAAAGATAGACAGACGGGGAAGAGAGGGATATATATATATATATATATATTAGAAAACAGCGAACAGAGAGGGTAGAGAGTCACGTCGAGAGAAAAAAGGCCGGGCAACATGCCATGGCGGGTAGGCGCGGAATCATTGCGAAATTGTGCAAACATCAATTGGTCGGGTTGTCCTTTGGTGCAATCATGTCAAGTGCCACCAATTTCGCCTTTGCAGAAGTCGTTATTCACCTCGTGCTCTATATTTTGCAGCGTTCTGCGCTCTACTCCATGTTCTCTAGGACTTGCGACCTAGTCTACGATATCTTCATGTATGTGTCTCTTCCTCTTTTTTTGTTTCTCTCTCTCTCTCTCTCTCTTTCCCTCTCTCTCTATATGTGTGTGCGTTTCGTTCTCGTATTGTGCTTCTTCCCTCCATATGTTGTTTTCTCTCTCGCTTGTATGTCCAGCGCTTTTCGTGGTCCAGCGCTTTGTATGTCCTTCGTTTTCTACCGTGGGAAAACCAGGACCCCAGCCGCCTGCTGGGATCGACGGGAATGTGTCACCAGGACCCATACATGGAAACCTTTCAATCTGCCCTCCCACCTGAATCGGCGGCACATTGCTGCCGAACCCATTGTTGCCGAACCGTTTCAGAGTTTGGAACCCGCGTCTCAAAACCAGGAGGCTTGGGATTTGGCCGCCTGCCGACATCAGCAGCGCACGTTCGCCACATCGCTGATTTCCGTCAATACCCCGCAAAAGCAATCATCAATCATTGAATTGGGGAACGGAGTGTCACGTTCAGCAACGTCGTCAAGGGCATGCGTTCCGTGGGGCCCGCGGCTTCTTCTCTCCCCTCAACGCCTCTCCCGCTCCAGTTGTGACGAATCTGGCCCCGAAGCGTCCTTCGGCTGCCCCGAGCGCGTCTTGGTTCCGACAGGCCGTCGCGACTACAGTGAGTGTTCCGCGGCTCTTCACAGGATCGTATCGCACGCGCGTGTTGGCCTTCCTTGGCGTCGGCCACAGCAGCCTCGTGCAGGTCTCCCCTCCCGGAAGCTGCTTGGGGAATGGAGAGGACCGCGGTGAATTGGGGGGTCGGAGGGGCGGTCTCGCGGACTGACCTGTCCTTCGGTATTCCGCAGGCTCCCGCGTTACTTGCAGTCATCGCGCCGAGTGAGGGCGCGCGCCTTCATCTATGGTGCCCTGGTGTCCTTGCCTCTGCGGCCCGTCCTTTGCCGTTTTCGCCCGCCCGCCGCCCAACAAACATCCTAACCTCGGCCTGCACGGGTTTGGATTCCTTGCCACCCGTCCTTCATATACGTTCTGCTTGCATCGAGGACTCGACATGGTGGTCGTGCCCTTTTTTCGGGAAGGCACGCGCGAAGCGTTGTCTTTCAGTCGGAGATGGGACTCTTTACCCCGTCTCGTGCCGAGCGGAAATTCGTCAGCCATTCTCGAGTTGAGGGTTGGCGGCAGTGGAGCGCAGCCAACGGAGAGCCCCAGTCCAACTTGGCAGGGTGCTCTTGCGGAGGCTGTCGGCCCACCCCGACCTGACCTCGCTCGGGCCTCTCTTGCCGCGCCCGGTCGGCGGCAGGGCCCGACGCCAGGTGCGACTGAAGGATCCGGCCGCGCGGGAGAAGTGGAAGATGCCTGCCAAGACCGCGGGGGGGGGAACCGCGCGCTTCACGAGCCTGTCGGGTACACTCCTCAGCATGCAATTCTTGGTATTCCCTGTGGTCCGAAAACCGGCTCGATCTGGCATGACCCCGGGAAACTTTTGTTGGCCCCGCTGAATCCGGCTCGGTGTTGGGCGCAACCTGGACGAATCCGACGCACTGGCCCCCTCGTCGGGCATCCGAGCCTCTCATCATTCTGGCGAAGACCTCCCAGGAGCTGCCTCCTCTCAGCGGAGGGCCGTTCAAGACACGGGGTGTTGGTTCTCGGGGGGGCCCCTCGTCGCCACGTCTGGACGCAGCATGGAAAATTGATGCGTTTGGACCTCGGGATGGGTCCGGGGACAGATTTTGAGTTCCCAGTGTCTCAAACCGCCTTTGCTCCGATGCTTTCACTTCCCCCCCACCCGCCCATCCGAACGGTCATTCATTGTCCTTGGGCGCGTCCCGCGGTTCGGATTTTTGATGCTATGTTGTGGAGGGTATACGACGAAGACGACGACAATAACAACAATAACAACAATCCAAACAGAGTAACCCCAATTCAGCCGCAGCCACAAACCCAGGGACAAGGTAACACCATTCGGCCCCTCCCTGCGCACTTATCACTATCTGGCTCGCTTTGTTTCATTTTTTCCATGACCTAGATGCAGTCGCTTTACCACCTTCACAGTTGAGAGGCGATCCGAGAGCATGACCGAGTGCTGCTTCGCTTTGAGACGACGCATTTGAGGGAACCTGCTGTGGAGGGGGGCATACCCCTTTCAGGATACAACTCCTGGGAGGTTGAATGCAGCATCGGCGCTGGCATATCTTGTGTCGAAATCTCGCCCAATCCGGTACACTCCGGCGGAGTTCCGCTGAGTGTTGATTCGGCAATTGACGCCCCAGTCGGCCTTATTACTCCTTAGTACCCATCGGTCGTTGAAGGTAGGTATTTTTGGATTCCCAGGTTCCAATCTACTTTCTGCGCCTTCCTACTTCAACGATCGAGCGTCTTCACTTTTTCTGTCCTCCTTCGGGGGCAACGGCTTCCTACCTCATGTTTTTACATGTTTCTTCCGACCGATGGGTACTACCCTTAGTAATCGTTCCTGCGAGGGCCTCCCAGGAGTTGCCGCCGAGCGCCTTGACCCAGCACGGTCCCTTGCTCTGCCCTTCGGCACCACCCAGACATACTTCTACCGCGTCCGCGCAGGCCCCGCAGGGGCGAGACGCGCGCGTTCAGCAGCTCTACGCAGAGGTCTTTGACAGTATGTATTTTTTTGATTCCCTGATCCCAATCTGCTTCAAGCGCCTTCCTACCTAAATAATGGATGTGCTTCTGTTGTGTTTTGTTATCATCTGGGAGGGCCTGCACCCAATCTACTTGATCCGCCTTCCTTCTTCATGTTGTTTGTACCTACTTCTCCCGACCGATGGGTATCTCCACCACGAGAATAAATATACACTGACTCTCTCCAATATATTGCTCCTGGGCCTCAGGGAAGGGTGGCGGTGTACACATCACCACTGAGGGCCAGCGACCTCATTCACCGCCATCCATCCTCCCTGAAGGTACGGGCAATATCCGTCGGGCGCCTGTGCATATCTTTTCGTGGAGTACTATAGTGTAAGCTTTGTTGCGGGCGCTTTCTGGCCGTGCCGTTCGGGAAACGATCTACTATTGGAGAGGCCTTACGGCCGGTTCCGCCTGACCCTGAACGACGACGACGACGATGTTGACTTGGGTCAGAGTCCTCAGGGACGCTTGTTGGGGCATCGTCAGAGCACTCTCGGGTGCCTCTGGAGGGTAATTTGGGGCCTCTTGGGAGCCTCTTGGGGGCCTGTTGGGCCTCTTGGGGCTCCCCGGGCGCATCTTTGAGGTTTATTGGGGGCGTTTGGGGGGCTTCTTCTTCGCTCGCTGCCCTTCGTGGCCCCGTTGCTGCCCTCAGTGGCTCCGTCGCTGTTCTTTGTGGCCCCGCATTATATGCCCTTCGTGGCCCCCGCTCGCACGCGCCCGCCGTGGCCCCATACGCATGCCCTTCGTTGCCCCGCTGTCGCCCTTCACGGCCCCCTCGCTGCCCTTCGTGGCCACTTTGCTGCCCTCAGTGGCCCAGCTGTCGCCCTGTGTGGCTCCGTATACGAATGCCCTTCGTGGCCCCCGCTCGCTCGCGCCCGTCGTGGCCCCATATGCATGCCTTTCGTGGTCCCGCTGTCGCCCTTTGTGGCCCCCTCGCTGCCCTTCGTGGCCCCGGTGCTGCCCTCAGCGGCCCCGTCGCTGCCCTCCGTGGACTCGGATTGTATGCCTTTCGTGGCCCACGCTGGCTTTTCTCACGATTTACTTAGGGCTCGAGACTTCCTCGCGATTCATGCAGGACCCACGCTTCAGCAACCCGCCTGCTCGACCTCGTCGTCTGGGCCCGCCTTCCGACCTGCCTGCTATGGGTCTGCTCACCTGATCTGCCCGTCTGGTTCTACCACTTGTTTTCTGCTCCTTGCCCCCCTCCTGCTAATTTCTCTCGTGTTCCAGTATTCTCCCTCCTGCTGCCACCCGTCCTCTTTTCCCTTGTTTTAGGGGCTTCACTAAATTCACGTGGCAGGTAAGGAAGACATACCCCCAAGGGGGTACGTTCGAAGACGACGAGGGCTGGTACCGAGGGTTGGGTTATACGTATTGATTAGCACGTGAGCAGATAGGAGCGAACAGTCTTAAAAAATTGGTGTTGTTGTTGTTGCTGCTGTTGTTGTTGTTGGTGTTGTTGTCGTGGTTGTTGTTGTTGTTGTTGTTGATGATGCTGTTGTTGCTGCTGCTGTTGTTGTGTTTGTTTGTTTGTTTGTTTGTTTGTTTGTTTGTTTGTTTGTTTGTTTGTTTGTTTGTTTGTTCGTTGTTGGGCGTCGTCCTCCCCGCGACCCACCTGCGACCCACCCCGCGACCCGCCCGCGACGCACCCGCGACCCACCCCACGACCCGCCCGCGACCTGGCCCGCGACCCGCCCGCGACCCACCCCGCGACCCGCTTGCGACTCATCCGCCACGCACCGGCGACCCACACGCGACCTGGCCCGCGACCTGGCCCGCGACCCACCCGCGACCCACCCACGACCCACCCGCGACCTTCCAGCGACCCACCCCGCGACCCACCCGCATTGCTTTAACGAAAATTCGGCGCCTGCGGCGGTCTCGCTGCACAATTTGTTTGCACTAGGCGCCTGCGGCGGGCTTCTTCAGAGCCTCGCAGACTGCCCACGTCCCCGCGTCCCCTCACTCTGATCCGCGACTGCGGGGTGCTACGTTTCGTGTCGGGCGGCGAGTTCCTGGGCAGACACACGCCCGTCCTGGGCCCGCGAGGGGAGCTGGGCCAGTGCAGTGCGTGGTGCTCTTCCTCCCTGTGCGTGGAGATTGGTTTCGTCGTCCTCTGGCGCGCGTGGCGGTCGTTGCCCGGGCCAGCCCCCGCCCCGCCGACCCCCCCCCACGTCGGGTCACGGTAAAGATCGTACGTAGGAGGGGGGGGGGGGGCATGGATCCCCACCCACACACACACATGCTGGTGCTCGCGCGCAGAGTTTGGCGATCGCAACGCAGCCCCGCCCCGACGTGCCCCACCCGCCCGCCCAAGCGGCAGCCGCGCTCCACCCCCCCCTTTGGTGTAACGATTGCTGCCCGAACCAAGTTCTAAAAATGCACCCTTGCGCTCGTCCCTCCGGTTTCGTCGCCGCTTGCCGCCGTCGCCGACACGCGCCCGCCCTCGCAGGAGCGACGACCCGGCGAAGTGAGAGCGACCGCGGCACCCGCCGGCGGGCAGGCGACACCTCGCGGCACCGCACGACACGGGGCAAGACTCGGGGGCAGCGGTAGGGTGGGGGACAGGCTCAGGGGGGGGCGCATCGACTCCCAATCGCCCATTGATCGCCGAGAGGGCCGATGGGGGCAAGGTGGCCCCCACCTACCCAGGAAGATGCGGATTCACCATCAGGGTCTCGTCGGCGACGTATCGCCGATTCCAGACCGATGTGCCCCCCCTATGGGAGGACTATGCCAGTCCCCCCCTATCCTTGCCCCTCAAGGACAATCACAGGAGAGCAGGAGACCGTTTTTCTAACCAATGGCGACAACAGGCGTGACCAGGGGGGGGAGGGGGCCAGTCACGTCATGTTTCGCGCGGGCGCCGGCTAATTCCCACACGTCGCCGGTGCGAATCGTGCTGTGACCAGGGGGAGAGGGAGGGAGGGGGGCCGGGAACAGGCGTGGTCGCGAAAAATAAGAAATTGTCCCAGTACGCCGATGGATACAGATGCCTTCGGCTTGTTTTCGTCTCTTGGGGCCTATCATGCTGGGGAAGGACCTCGTCGCCATAGCTGGGTTCGCCTGGAACTCCTGGTCGGGACGCACCGCGGGAGAGGTCCGGGGAGTAGCGCTGTCGTTTTTTTTCTTGCGCAGGCTGCAGGGGCGCCACACTGGCGCCTGAAGCGTCAGGCGCCCGCGGGCTACTGCGGGAAAGCAAGGAACGCAATGCAACAACGCAGTCCGAAGAGAAGTCGACGAAGCACAAGATGACAATACATGATCAGCACATGCATGATGGTGATGGAGAGCATTCAGACGAGGGAGGCTGAGGAGGTGCCCACTCGGGGTGGCGCTCGGCTGCCACTTTCGCCACCCAAACGGGACCACCTCAATTGTGCACATATCCAAGGGAGTTCGGAAATCGGGAGCAGCATGAGAACGATTGAAATGAAGAGATGGGGAGACAGACAGGGCTCCGCGAGCTGGCCAGCAGGTCCCACGTCAGGTGTTCCCCCCTACCCCCGCGGCCCGACTCAACGGGTGCTCGCGGTGTGTGGGATCGGGGGATGCCGTCACACAAGTGGGACCTAATATTGAACGTGCACACAACAAAGGGGAGGATACAGGCAAAGAAGAGAGGGGGCAGCAATGCATGTAACAAGAGAGAGAGAGAGAGAAGAGGAGGCAACGGCAAACAAAAAACAATCAAGGCCTCGCTCAAGAAACCCCCAGAATGAGGGCGCGAGAAAACAGCAACACAAACATGATCCTGAATTATTTCATTCCCCTCCACCGATGCACCACTCCAATAGTATACTAGAAACCGTCGTAGCCGAAGTCGACCTACGAGCCCTCCACCAGGGGCTGACTTGGAGCGGTGCAGCGAGGAGGGTAGCTGATCCTCCAGTTTAGTGCCTGGTCCATGGAGGACTCCTGAATCACCTGGGGCATGAGGGGCTTAAGAAGGACAAGACCTCGGCACCATGACTGTGGGACCCCAGTGTGAGCCCAGGCCTCGGCTGAGGTCATGCAGGCCCCGCAGCATCTGCTGCGGCAGCAGCTGCGCGCACGGATAGGCTGGCATGTGCCAGCGACCATGCAAGCATTCGTGACAGCCCGACTGGCCATTCACCAGGCTTCAGGCGATCAGCCACATCGTGTGCTCGATGATCACAGCGGCATCTGCTCCGCTGCTTCTCAAGCTCGAACTCCGGCCTCGCGTGGGTAGAGACCACCGTCATCGGATGGCGATCAAAGGTACCCAGCATGCAACAATCCAATTCTTCGGCACTCATCCGTTCTCCTATCGCAATCTCAACGTCATCAATCACCGTTGACACCACCTGCAGCACATTCTTTGCCACTACAAGGTGTGCAGGAACTCTTGTGGCGCACGCAACTTCCATCAGTGTCATGGACTGCCGCAGCTGCTCGATCTCTCTTGCCAGCTTCTTGCGTCTCTCCCCCCAAGTACTCCAAGACCCCATGGCTGATCAGCAGATTGAATGGGTACTCTAACGTCCGAACGGCCCTTGAAGCTGCAACAAGTATCCACTGACGGGGAGAGTACCAAGCCACAAGCCTGGCCATCCGACATTGTTGCGATCATATCATTCAACTGGGTCTGAGCCGTAAGTGTCACTCCCATGATAGTGCTCAACCATCTCCCAACGTCATGGACCACCGTGCCGTTCGAGAAAACGTGGTAAAAGACAGTCGCGATCCCAAGCCGTCGCCTTGCTATAGGTAGTACGCGAGGCTCGACTTCAACCTGCATTTCAGGCGGCCTTGGCGGTTACCACGGTTCGCCTCGCCCACCCCCGCTGTTCAACTATTCGTTCGGCCTTCTGGAAGGCCTGTCAGTAGTTGTAACCTCTATGCACCATCTGCCGCTCCCTTTGATAGCCCCCCTTCATCAGATCATCTGCTACGTCTGGGAGGAGAAGCTCAACATGTTGCGCAATCAACTGTATGCAACGGTTGCCAGGTCGCCGTCGATGCCGTACCAAGCTGGAACGACCAGATACTTTAGTCCCACACGCCCGACAAAGAGAATCATGAGCCACACGCTGTGCGAGTTCCAGCGGTTGGTGGTCAAGTATAGCAAGCATAGCGTATCTCTATGGCCACAAACGACTCCGTGCCTGTCCGAACCCGTTTTGAGCTAGGTCTTCCACACCGACTTCTGTAACCGCTCTAGGTCCGCTGCCAGGAACAGTTTCCATGCTCGCTTGACCTCGGCACGGAGTCTGGAAGAGTTTGCTTTCGTGCAGTCGAACCGCTTCTTTATCGTCCACGAAGATCGATCTCCATATTTGTCATATGTAGATAGCCGAAGAAGATCCTGCTGGACCATCCCTGTCCACGAGTCCGTTGGTAAGTCCGCCACCTGATCCAACAAGAACCATAGCGCTGACGGTCACCGACAAAAAGTGATCCAAAGTACATCAACCTCTTCTTACTGAATAAGATGCTCAATCCGAACACGCCGTGCTGCGCAAAGGACTTCCTCATCTGAGAACATATGCTCCGACGCACTGTGATGGACACTTCCCTGGATCGCCCAATGCGACATAAGCCGAGGCCCGTCGAGCCGATGCAGTAAAGAGGCAGAAGGCATCTCCCATACCTCCGCCAAGTACAGCAGGTTCACATATGGCCACTGTATCTACCAAGTTTGTCTTAGCCAGCATCGCCATCCGTCCAAACTTCGAGCACATACGTCGAACCAGGGCCATTGCCTGCCTCTGCTTCTGGGTGGATGCCGCCGCGCCTGGACCCAACGCTCCATTCACGTCCAGGAGTGTCCCTAGGTACCTGTAATCTGTTGACGCATGCACCTGTATGCACAAACGGCTGACTTGACCACCGAATCCGGCTCAGAGATGCGTTGACGCAATGCTGAATCATGTTGCCAACCTGGTATGACGAAAAGGCTGGACTTGGAGGGCTTGTAGTTGAGTGTAAACTCATGCGCCAGCATGGCATAGTGAAACGCATCAACTATCTCACCAGCCAGCTCCACTGGATCCATCATCGGGGCCTGCAGGTACAACGTTTCGTCAACATTCAGCTTGGATATGTTCCGAGAACACATGATTAGAATTTCCAGGTGCCAACGGCACGCAGCCTCCAAGTCTGCGCAGCGCCAAGTCCCTTGTGTTCAAGGGCGGACGGAAGGCTGGATTGAATATGGCATCAGCGAGCGATCTCCCAGGTCGAGAGCCTCTGCGAGACCTTGCCATTGCTGGCAATCCTTCCGTACCAAGATGAGTATCTCTCTGCGATTCCACCAGCAGCGCTAACAATTGTGGTGATGATCCCAATCCTTCCAGCGCCGCTGGCGGGTGCAGAATGAAGGAGAATAGCGGCATCATGCTGATCGGCAGTTCGTGGTTGTGCTCCACATTGTTGGTATCTCCGTCATGGTCATCACGAGTGAGTAGGACAAGACTCCGAACCACAGAGTAGAAAGCCGAGACCAGATCAACACAATTAAGCAACGCACACCTTTTCTGCATCTTCGCTGCCTTCAGACATGACGATGCCATCTGCACCAGCGCAGACGGACCTCTTCCTGCTCTCTCTCCGGACTGCGTCGCCCGAAGTATGATGTCGAAGTAGCTTGAGATTTGGCAAATCGGGAACCGATGCCAACACTTGCTCATTGTATAGTTGAGGAAAATTGACCTGTAGAATGTCAATTGTGCGTAGCTGCCAATTCCTTTGAACAATGGGTGGACTATGCCATGCTTGCACGTGTACGGCTCCTGCTGATACACGCTATTGTTGGCAAATCTTGGATGGTATAGGTGTGACGTCTCGCTTGGAAAAAGCCGTATACCATCTCCTTGGACGCCATCTTGATCATTTGCCGTTTTCTTTTCCAGCTTGCGGAATAGATCACCAACCATTAGTTTGGTAGGCACAAGGTCTGCTTCTGATTCAATCGTGTGAGGGTCATAGTGTAGCCGCTAATTTTACGTGTTCGCCAGTGTAGCGCCCTCTACGACATGGGCATCCTCAATTTCTGCAAAGTGCTTCAGTACCATGTAGTCCGCCTCCTCCGCTGTTGTAGCCGCAGTGCCATTCTTATCCAACAATATGGGGAAACGTCCCGTACGTCCTGTTTCGCCACCGTATCTCAACAGGACTTTCATGAGACGCCACTTGCCGTGACTGTCATCATCCAGCGCACATGCGCCCATCTGCTTGGCTATCTCCTCCATCAAGGGAGGGAAAACCACCCGGACCGGACAATTGGCGTTTACCAAACGGCCTTGGGCGTTTATTAAACAGCCCTGCCCTGTTCGGTTCCTTCAGTGGGGGCTTTTAGTAAACAGTTTCGCGTGTCGGGGTGGTTATTATCGGGGTGGATTTTCTGCCTTCTACTCCAGGTGCTGAGTACTGTTCTGGTTCACGCTCCTGCGTGCCAACCTCGCCGTCGACGTCAAGAAATACCTGAGCTCCCTCACGGAGGCGTCTCCGTCAAAGTCGGGGTCCGCACGCATATCTACGCATGCAATCCTCAAGCTCACAATCTGATCA